ATATTCAGTCAAGAGTCAGGTTCTGTGTACCGGAGCTGTACAATCTTGGTATCCCTTGACTTTGGAAATACGTCCGAATATGGAAATCGCTTGTGTACTCGATAGATTGTCACATTGCGATGGAACTCAACGGCAATAAAACACTACCCACTGAATCTTAAGAATGGATCCAGATAAATTCATTACGTGTGACATCTTCAATACGATCCTCAAAACCCCCCAAATAAATGCCGCTTCAGTGGACGAACGACTTTGATCAAAGTGGTGGTCCACATGTTGATTCCAAATACGCGCTTACCAAGTTGTATAGAAATACTTGTTTAGATTGTGTTTATGAGTTTTTATCAGCCCGTTTGAGAACCAAAATGTATCCGATCTGGCTCTGAAAAGAAGGAAACAGATACTTTTTTGGTTTCCCAATCGTCTTCATATGTTATAGGGGTGTATTTTCTTGGAAGGCTTTCCCGAATGGATCCGCCCTTGATGTTCAGTGAATAAATGAACAAGGTTGGCCATTTCCTCCAAAACTAAACTCATCAAAATGACCATGAAAAACACCCTTGCAATTGGAATATGTTTCAAGTAAAACGATTCTAGATGAAAATATCTCCTGAAAGAACCTCGCAGATTTTTCCTGTTCGCTCGTTCCCAGTATTGTCATTCGAACTAAAAAATTACCGCATCTGGGTCTGTCAGATAGAGAGAGATTTGACCTCACAGAGGCCTGACGGTTTGTGTGTCTCAATTACACACTGAGCTGTGTATATTTGCACTCACAGACCCTCCCATAGTAGGTTGGTCTCTGGGTAGAAGTCTTCCAACTGGGACTCGGACATACACCCTGCGAATTAGGCTCCTCTGAATGCCTGCACAATCCACCACCAATTCGGAAATGTACAAGTGTAAATGGGCTTTCGGGATGAAGGCCTTAATCGTGGACACTAAATGGCCTCCCTTCCATGTCCGGATGTCACGGTATACGGGCACATACCACTGATGAAACATGCGAACAACCTGCTGTCTTTTCCAAGTACCGCTCAAGCGTTTAACGGAGGGTGAAGTTCGCTAAGAAACTTGTAATACCGATTTAAGAGCATGATATTAAGTGAATACGCATGAAAGCTGAAGACAAATATTGAGAATGTTCGGATGTAAAAAACTGTGCGCAAATGAGATGCATACTTTCCTGTCCTATAGTTCATGGCTGTTTAGCTGATGTTTGCTAACAAACGACTTCGAGATGAAGGACATTCCTCATTACCCTGGTAGCATCACGGCCTGGTTTCAAGCATGGATTGCACGCTCACAAATAGTATCACGTTGCATCGGCCTCGAGTGGTGTCATCGAACCGATGGGGTTGTCTGCTCTATACCACAGGTCACGTAATCGGAAAAGGCTCTTATAACTAAGGGATCAGTTCGCCTCCCTTTGTCGTCAGCTGCAACATTCGTTGTCAAATCGGTTGTCAAAGCTTAAAACGCTCTTAATATGTTCTTCGGTTTGCCTGTCACTTGTTATTGCATACACTCTGAAACAAGTTGCACAGCATGTTTTTGCACTGGGTTTGCCATCGGTTTCCTCGTGATGAGGATTTAAATTCTCACTACGGTTGCTGAACTGCACCACTTGCGTGTTTCAGTTCGCTGTCATCTGCATGATCCGGAAGCTAGTGTTGCTATTTTTAATGATTTCGGCGCGGTTTCCGTTGTGAACTGAATGTTTTCTGAGCCTAATTTCATGTTAGAAGACAGAATCATCACCAGGAATCGGGATTCCAGTCAGGAATGAGCTGTGTGGAGCACAGCTTCAGCGGTGTGGAGCACAGCCTTCCAGTCGAACAAAGACAGGCGTACAGGAGCTCCACAATATTGTCATCCCTTGACTTCGATAACAAAACATTCGATTTTCTCGTTCGTTTCTTCTGGACAAATAATAAGATGGCAGCGAAACATAGCGGCAATAAAACATCATTAAGTGAATCTTAGGAATAAGTACGGATACATTCGAAACGTATGACGCTTTCCATGCGATTCCCATGCAAATGAGTCAGGAATGAATGAATGAATATCATCAAAGTGTCTCTCCATATTTTTAATCAAATTCGCATGGCTTCATCGTACCAAGTAGTATACAATTATTTGCTCACATTGATCAGCCATAGAATAGACCTGTTTGAGCCCCGCGGGAATTCTCTTGTGTTTATCCGAAACAAACCTTCCACTCACAGTCAGTGATTTCACCTAACATAACGTTGTCGGTTTCCCACTATCATGCATCACGGTATGCACATCAGAAATAACCGGTGAATTGACCGACACAAAGAAAAATAACTCTGCACAACTTAGAAATACTAACGAAAACCAACACAAGGGATGAACTGTGTGTCCAGTACTTGGGGCATTTACACACCGCCTTCTCGAGTGAAACGTCAAAGTCATGGTGAAACTGAGGTGGGACACAGCTGACAGTGTACCATTAGTTCAAATTTTCACTTCGAAATCCCATTCCTGCGGGATTTTGATGAAGGATGTAGCCTCGACACCGTAAAAAGCCAACGGAAACTTACCTGATGTCGACAATTTTGCCAGGTGTTGGTACCAGGAACGAGGACAACCCAGTTATTCGACGGAGTGTTGTTAAATATTGATGAACAATTGTGGACACCTACGGCATCCAACCAAGCAAGGTGACTGATGCAGAAAAAGAACGCAAATAGAGGCGAACTACGACGCATCATGTGCAGGTTTGCTTGAAGCTTCATATGCCTTAAATTTATACTCTGCGTCTCGTGTGAATTGCATTTTGCCTTACTCGTGTATGGCGATAGTGTGAAAACAACTGTCCACCAAGTGTCTAATAGGTCTGATTGACAAAGTTTAACTAAACCAGGACATAATGTGCAGTTTTGATCACCTTATTCAATAACCGATCATTTGCGCAACCTACTTCCAACACTGTGTGCACATGTGTAACGTCCGGCACAAACATGACTTATTTCGTTAGGCGCCCATGCGCTTCAGAGAGTAGTGAAGAGCTAACAGAATCTGCAAAAGGATTTCGCGTAGAAGCTGGCATCCTATTGACTTTGTTTCAGCGAGACATTGATTCGGATTTCTGTGTTTAAAAATCAAAGTGAAAATGTATGTGTTTGCAGTGGGTGAACCTAAACTTGATATATCTGAGAAGCTGTGTATCTTCTCACAGTGTACATCGATGGATTCGTGCCGCTGCTGGTCGACTTAATTGTGTGATACGGAAGGTCACACAAAGTCTTGAGCCAAGGAATTTACTTTGACGAAACAGGCGGTGAGCAGTTTATGGGTTCTCAGCAAACGTACGAGGACTGTGTTAGGTCCAAAAAGACAGATTTAACACGCGCTTCCCCAGCGCCTTTCTACCTATTGGCGTTTACCTCGTTAGTATATCGCGACACGCATGTGCTTCACTTCAGATCCAACTGTGCGCAGATCACAAGAATAAAGCCGCTAAACAAAATGTCTGTCCACCACATTCAATAATACGAACAGTGAGATATGAGAATTAGAAATGCAACTCATGTGACCTTTTTCGAAAATTCAATAATCGGGAAATGAAATGCTACACTTGGTAACACAAAAGTGACGTCATTACTCGTTATCGAAACAAATGAGAATGAAGTTCCGTGGTTTCTTTATTCATGATAATATTTAATGGTGAGACTACGAGATACCACAGCCAGAGCGATATTCCACTCCGTGTAGGTAAACAAGTGCATGGTCCGAATGTCTTTTTGTTCTTTCTCAAAACCTCTGCATTCAAGGAATGCGATTATCTGACTGAAACTCTCTGCGTTCTTAGGTAGCACTTATGCCAAACGAAATTCGCAACAGCCGCTTTCATGAAAACTTCCAACGCTTCAGGTTCCAGGTAAATCGCCCAGGAAAATAAACGAATAAAAATTGCGGGGATGTAGTACTTATGTGCAAGCAAATTGATACGAATGTTAGCCATTCTACACAAGTACCAGGTGCATGATTCACCCTCGCAGGGATTGAGGTTTATCGAACGTTTGTCGAACCCGCGTGAGCGGGGACACATGAGCAAATTGGATCCAGCACTATTCTGTGCGCAACCAAACAGAAAATCACTCAATCCTAACTACACATTTCATTTTTTCCGGTCGAGTTACTATACATTCTTGCCAATGATTGCAGTTAGTATTCGATTATATTCCTTCAACCGCAAACTCTACTTCAAGGAGACCTTGTCAACGGAAAACCAGAAACAATCAAAAGTGTGATTGAAGACAATCGTCAGTTAGCGAGTATGGAGACAATCAAACTGTATGGGTCAATATTGGGGTGAAGCTTGAAAAATCATAGAAAATGCATTCAAGACGCGAACAATCGCGCATGGCAACGACAGTGGGAGTGCCAAGCTTCTAAATATTCGGTTTCCGTACGGCTCCGTTTGACCGCTCGTGGAAGCGAGAGAACGACCGCTTCCAATTAGGTTGCCACGTCATAGAACCAAAGTTCTTGTTCGTAAGAATGAAGCAACCTTCTGCAATTTTGTAAACAGAGTNATGCAGCCACCTGGTTGGCAGTTCTGCGGCATTCCATCTCTTGACACGTTCGAGGAACAGACTAGCTGATGAACAGCGAGTTGGCCCAACACAGCGGCCATTAATTTCACGGATTGCCAAAGGTTGAATTTTACATTCAGCTTCCATAAGGATGAACCTAGTAGCCGACAGTTGTGTTCCAAAACGCAAACTTCATAGACCCCTTAAAACGGATATATCTAAACCGCTGTAATAGGTTCGGTTTTCGAAGGTCTACATGATGCAAAAGCCGTGTACACCCTACACATGATCAGACAAGATATCAGCTGTTTCGGTCTGTGGGGAGTGAGCACACATGATTCGCTCTGCCAAACGGCCACCTAAAGCTATGAACCACACAGACACTCCCCAGACAGCTCCTTGTGATGTGCCAGCCAAGGAAGTTAAGTATGTGTAAAAGCTTTCATATACTAACCTGGTCCAGAAAAGTTTTCGCGGTTTGTACATTTATTCGACAAGGCAGTAATATCTACCAGCTTGTGCATTTCCAGGAATGTTGTTTGAGTTTATGTCAGTCCAAATCAATAGACACGCATTGATTTTCAAGCCGGTCGATAAACACGATCTGGCAGAAGGAATCCTGTGAACTGGAAAAGCCATCATCTCAGAAATGGATAAAAGCTATTCCAAAAGATTGCCTAAAAGAGACATTGCAGTTTCACAGATACGAAGTCTGAAGGATGTCGATGGAAAAACTGGGCAATTGGGCCGCCCACTTTTTTGGGTCTGAAAACATTAAAACAGGGTAACATCAGCACAACTGAAGTTTTTTTACTAAGTAATCTGCATCACGCTAGGTGGGAAATTGGGATAAATAAGAAGTCGTAATGAACGAATAAGTGAATGAATGAAAGAAAAAAGAAGAAATGAGTCAGTGGGTTAAGGAGTCGGGACAATGGCTTCGTAGATCCATATGTGCAGCCTTATCTATAGAGGTTTTCAAGTAACAGACGAAAGTTATTTTACCCCACACAGCTGGAATCGTCAATCCAGGAATATGACTAACTGCCGCAGCAAATAAATTAATTATCCGAGATGACTTATTTGATACACGCGCAGTTGCAAAATGGATCCAGTGCATTGGTTCAAACTTATATAAGCAAACATCTACTGACCTACAACTTAAAGCGCAATTGGATCTTGCAGACACTGAATGGTCTTATTTGAAAAAGCGCCATTCTGCAAACTTTTCCGAAGATCATAGACCCTCATTGATACTAGCCCGCAGAAGATAACTCTAATTTGGTAACCCACTGTACCCAACATAGTCTGAACACTCACTACATTATAATGACGTTCTGGAGTTCTGTCACCCAATATCACGTCTTCCAACGAGAGTAGAATAACCGCTCAGAATCTGTTGTCTAATACAATGGTCATAGTCTCCGTCGGACCTTTGAGAGCATCTATTCAGAAAGGCGCGTTGTTGAAGAACTCCATCATACTTTTGAACCCATCCAACTGTTGTTGTTGCGAGACCCCAATCCCCTAAATTAGCAGACAATTTGCCATCGAAAGGTGTGAACAAATTGAAACTTAATTTCGTTCGTTAAACCCGAAATGGGGTGTTATGAAAACATTCAGTCGCACTGCGCAAATTGCGATACCGGATTTCCATGGAATGAAATGGAGTTCCCACAAAACTTAAACCATGAGATTATTGCATCCCTTTCAGCACGTTTCAGAAAGCCTTGTTTCTCACATAGCTGGTTGTGAACGATCGATGTTGTCCTGGCATAACGTTTAGGACCATGGCCGTACCCCTCTGAGAAATGGAACCTTGTCACTTGCTGTTTTATTAAATGAGGTCATAGGAACACCGCAGTGTTTTGTATCCGTTTAGGACAAGGATTTCTTACAGTCCAGCGGTCCTGCCGTGTATTGGATTGTTCATAAGGTAGTGTCTGCCTATACTGCCAGTGAACGCGGTGTGAATATTCAATCTGTGAAGCGGGAAGAGATAAACGTTTGAACGAGTGAGTCGCACTGTTTGGATCCGCTGAACGTTCGAGTAAGGGAAATTTTTGGGGTCCACTATCGGTGCGAGAAAATGGTTCATAAAAACAGCAGCCGCCAGTATTACCGGTGAAACTGCTGTGAATAATTTCATCGTGAAAAGAGGCGAATGAATGAGTCATACGTTATGGATTGAAATTTCAAGTAATTATGTCGGGTTGCTGCCGTGCAGTGCTTCAGTTCAGACACAACAAGGTGTTGGCAAAATGAGTTGATTAAACTCTGTCGGGGAGTGGGCTCATATGTCCAACTAGCAGTACGGAAATAATCAAGATTTTTTCACCGGTGGGAACAGTTTCATTATCCGAGTGCCATACAGTCAGGATAACCTGGAAACATCCATCGGTGTATGCCTTTGCTGACAAGCAATCCAAGCGGATTCATCGGCTTACATCTCCGTTTCACAAACTGGCAACATGTGCGTAGGTACCGGGCAACTTCGCTTTATTGAGGAAAAGAATTATTAAATTACCATTGTCAGAAATTCAATATTGACGGTCAACGTGACTTATAGAAGTCCACGCGTGCCCTATAATTCTATGCATTTTATTCGAGCAGGCTTCCATAAGCCGCGCATGACGTGGAATTCAAATTATGTCTTACAAAATAAACGCTAAAATTGATATTTTGACTTCAGCCTAGGAAGTGCAGCGAACGTTACCTATGTTTTTGTTACGTGTACATCATTCTTTCGAGAATAAAATGGCACCTCTCTTCAGCATGAATAGCAAGGTCTCCTAGTTTTCGGCGTGCAGGCATTCAAATCTATCCCTACCGAAATGGGGTATATTCTAGGACTACGTGTTAGGATTCACTCACAAGGTCACGCAATAATATACACAAAACCAGCAAGCCATTCCGCCTTTCAGTTACCAGCTTCAAACAGACCGAATAATACCGCGGCATAGTCATATGGAACATGCAAATATGTCTTACAAAACGCTAAAATTGATATTTTGACTTCAGCCTAGGAAGTGCAGCGAACGTTACCTATGTTTTTGTTACGTGTACATCATTCTTTGGAGAATAAAATGGCACCTCTCTTCAGCATGAATAGCAAGGTCTCCTAGTTTTCGGCGTGCAGGCATTCAAATCTATCCCTACCGAAATGGGGTATATTCTAGGACTACGTGTTAGGATTCACTCACAAGGTCACGCAATAATATACACAAAACCAGCAAGCCATTCCGCCTTTCAGTTACCAGCTTCAAACAGACCGAATAATACCGCGGCATAGTCATATGGAACATGCAAATCTCACTGTAAAACTTTCAGCCAGTTACCTCAAAGTGAGACAGGTAAGCGAGTTTGGAATGCGGCATTTTGAGCCGGATATAAAAATAGGGGAATCTCATTTATATTAACTACAAGCTAGGATCACGTTTGAAGAAGCTTTGCAGGGAGACCCAAAACGCGTGCAGGCACCATTACTGTTACCAACATGATAACTGAGCATGCTCGCTTTGACCGACGTTCAACACTTCAAAACACAGCTAATTGAAAATTATTCCATCTACACCTCAAGTCACCAACAGTATTTACATCTGACTGGAAGTTCTAGCATTGCTCATATACCTACATGCATGCAACTCTACATAAGCCCGTCTTGAATATTAGCGCACCACATTCGTTCACGCCGGAAACGGTACACCTAAGGCATGAATATAGCAAGTCAAAAGTCAATTGTTTCCAAAACTCGGTGCTGTTTGGAGAATTTCACGACTTGAATCTTTACTGCTCAACCTGTTTCAAAAGTACCATATGGGTACCATCTACAGGTAGTAAAAATGAACATAGTCTGCGCATCGTATACTTGAAAGCACACCAAGAATGGCACATTTTACAAATGTTCACCAGATCGTACTACCCCATATAGGGTGGAACATTTCACTTCATATTATCTTCTACAATCGACCGTTTTTGCGCTTTCAAATGTGCAATAGTATCGAGACATTTTGATGCCTGTTTAAACCTGCGGAATATTTTTTGTAGTCATTCTTTCCCAGTTAACCCATCCGTCAGTTCTCGCGTGAAAAATTAGCAACATGTTTAACACAACAATTCCGGTATTTGGTTCATGCTCGGTTGTGTTTTTTAATTGTTTATCTTCACCTATTCCGTTGGTTATATGTAAGCACTCCCTAAAAATGACGCTCATGCCATCAAGGCAATCGGTATACACTCTGCCAGTCAACTTCTTTGTGACGCAGCGCATTATCGCAGGAAATACGGAAGATCCAACCCGGTCTGTCATTAGATATGTCCTCGAGAATTCATAGCTTGAAGCTAGACAACTTCCTCCCTAAATATTTGTCGCCATAACTCTCCTATTTTGTTATGAATTCGCGAAAGTCGGAAGTTTGCTCGTTTTCTAGAAATCGTTATTTTACTGGGCCATTTCGCAGGTGTTTAAACAGTAAGAAGGCTTTGATTCTGATGTAACCGATGAAATTTAAGGTGTCGAAATATCTTTCTACCTAAGGGACTATTGTATTTCCCAGGATTCGGCGAAACGTTTCGGAATGATTTAGGTTAGCCTGGATGTCACGTGCCGATCAGCAGTGAAAATGCAACCCACACAGTCACATGTACCACCAAATGTGTTTTGATGAACAACGGGATTGTTTTAAGGTCCCCGTCGGTGTTCAGTATGACCTAGACACGTGTGCGCTTTGGGCATATCATTTTGTTAGCATTTTGCAATCGTCTTTGCTATAACATCAGGCCGTGGTGATGTGCACAAAAAGATCGGTTTGAGATAGTGAGGTGGGTTGAGACAATATGGAGGATATTCATGGTTTCGGTGCCCAGTCGATTACATAATTTTTTTTTGCGTCAAAGTTTGACAATTGCCCTTGCGTTTGCATACAAAAGTTCAACCGGTGAGTCCTTCCACGTGTTTTGGTATCCGTTTAGACGGCACTTGGAAATTAAACAACCAAATTAATACGCTATGAACCAATATGTGTTGTTACTTCAAGTAATTCCTCAGTGATAAGGTCGAAAACTTTGCTTCACACTTAGTTGTGAGTTATTTTTTACATCACTTTAGTTCAGTAGCACGATTGTCTGTTTTGATACCACTCAGGATATTCAGCGCGCATGTCAAAAAAGTTGTCCACTACACTATCAACTGTGTTTTTTCACAATCACAATTACAGATGCTATCAACCAAACAATTACCTTTGAATGCGAAGGTACGCCATGACTGGACGTTTCAATAGAAAACATTAAATCTTATTTGCAATGGCATTGCCCGTTTGCAGATCTATGCAACAACTAACCATCGTCCTCTGTATAACAATGGATCAGGCGAGCATGCAGATTTTCTGGCTCTTCCGTCGTATGTTTCCAACTGAATCGACTGCCCTCTTGCGTCCACCTGTTAGTTTGATTTATTTACTTGGCGCCTCTTCCAATACGAATGACATGTTCCTTTGGCTTGGAACCAGGTGCTTCTTTTTTATTAGTTCCGCGCCTGGTTGAGAAAACCGTAGTTCACGCGTATTCTCGAACTCAGTGGTTGAGAAATAGGGTCAATTCTAATGTGCAAGTAATCACTTCATTTGAAGAGTATAAAAACTGGTCTATTTTTTCCTTCTTGCTTGAGCTAATATGCTGACGCCCCTCAGCCAAACTCGCGTCCTTCTTGATCATTTTGTGCGGAGATTGAGCGGAACCGGACACACGCGGACCAACTTTTGAGTTGCCACAACAACCATCAAAATTTTTCCCGAACAAGGCTTCATTGGTGCAATTTTCAAGCGATTGTGCCACGTTGCCGCCCAAAAAATCCAATGTATAACAAGAAATCCGCCTTTGCGCATTCCTCCGTTGAAATAAATTTCGAAAAATTTTGTCCTGGGGACCGTTCAAAAATCATAACTCGACTTATCTACGGTACAAAATGGATCAAAGTCGGTCACGATTACACATCAGGAAGCCTTCCTAAGTGACACGGAGGCGCCCAGGAAGCCTTTCTAAATGACACGGAGGCGCCTAAGGCAGCACAGGATGCCGGCTTATTGTCCCACAATGACGTTGCACAGGACAATATACAACCCGTAAAGGAAATTTGAATCAAAGACGAAAACGAGATCCCATGCGAGGCCCGCATCAAACAAGCGAGAAGCTTCTTACGTAGTCATATGTTCAGTTCTGCCTCCAATTTCCGCACAATAAGCAGAGATGAGGTGCATTTGACTAGATGGGCCTTCATATGTTCGCTCCACAAACCAAGCTATTAATAGCATAATAGAACTGACCATATTTCTCAACCGCAGTTTGCAAGAAAATGCACAAGGCACGGTACGCTTAACCAGAACAATACTCCCAAAGGGGCATGCGTTTCAAACCCAAAGGGTTACATCACTCGTAGTGCAAGAGACCTTCAGTAAATAAACCAAAGTAACATATTAACCGGCGGACGCAAGGAGATCAGTTGATACAATAGAGAAATAAGTGTGGTTGTTTTCTCTCATCAGGAAAAAACGTCCAAAAGCACTATGCTAACCGCGGCATAAAACCTTGCTTTGAATTACCAATTACACGAAGTTTCGAACATTCCTTTTGGTTTTTGCCAACCTCCGTAATTCTTTTGAGAGGGGCAAAAACTTGTTGGTTCAGCTGACGCGCTCACTCATGACGAAGCACGCATTGCATTCGAATGTGTGATAAGCTCGGCGCATATATCAACAGTCATATATCAACAAATATCAATATCAATGGATACACTCACTCAATTTACGTACCTGTGCAAACAGATTGATCACCTGTAACGCGCAACCACCGTGTCTGTTTACAATTGATGCACCAACCAACATTATTATAATTCATTCGTTAATTATTATAATAATGAAACAGCCGAGCACGCAGATTTTTTCTTTACATGCTACTGAGAATTTGGCTACAATAATGGACATCGATCAGGATATACACCTCTGCGGAGTATCACCGATGCATCCCCTCAACTTTTCTTATTGGACGCAGTAGAATTTTAATCTCCATCCAGATGTTAACTGCGTTCGTTTAATTACAGTTGCTGCACTTCCGAATCGATGAATTATCGCGCAGAGCACTGTTAGTTTTTTCTTTTTTAATGAGGTTTCAAGAAGCCGGTCAAGTAAAAGGCAAAAATGGGAGCTCTCTAGGCAACTACATTTCACAACACACATGACGTGACAATCTCACTCATTCAGTCGGCCGCATACGAGAGCCAAGACAAAAATATGCCGCTTCAACTACTTGCTACTTGGTTATCTCAAAGAGCCTGTCAAAAACGTAAGCGGGTAGGTCTGATGATAATTAAATAATTTTCATTCGCTCATGCTTGAGGAGTCGTGAGCAGTATGGGATATAGCTGCAGTGATATAGCTTAAAATTGAATTTTGGCCAGAGGTAAGGCAACATTCATAAGGTTATGCATGCCTTTCCAACGACTGGTTTCCACATTCTTGAGGCTCATCTGACAAAACTGGGAAATCACCCTTGAGCACAATGTGTTTTTCTCACCAACAGACGACTAAATTTATCTGAAACATCGCAGTGGTATTCTACCACAAGCGTCTGTGCACAACCATATCGGTCTATACGAAGTTTGGTTAAATATCATGGACGCAGTGTTACACACCACAGAGAGTTCATGCTGTTTTAAAATTCCGTGACTACCATAACAATTTGCAAAGAATACTGAAATGATCACTATAATTGGGAACCAAACTCTCCTAAACAAGCAAGGCAGTAAAAAGGCTGGAATTCTGATACGCAATTTGTAGTGCAGATCAATCAACCGAAAGTTCTAGTTTAAGTGTAAGTAATATGAACAGCTCTTCGTGAGTGTTTATAGTGTGCGGTGCATACGGTTCAGTAGCACGGTAGAGTGCATTCCTTGGTTCTACAATCCATGGTGTACAAGTGTACACACCTGCACAATCTTTCACTCAACCTGAGATAGAGATGCCTTGGTTTATAAGAAAAGCGCTTTTCAGGTGGAGAATGAACAACTGTGTAGCGAAAAATGCACGAAATATCAGTAAAATAAAATGCGAGCGGAAGGGTAGTTCTACATTACGCCCAGAACACACGTGAACTCGCAACAAGATTGTTAGCCGAATCGTCATGTTTCACAATCCTAAAGAGACTTTGAAAACCTGACATCCCTACCCGAGGACGACCAATCCAAGGCCAAAGGAAGAATGTAGTAAACCAAACCAACTGCACCAAATTCCACGTTCAACAAGCTGGCTGAAGAAAAACAACGTAATCTTCCACAGACATGGCAACTCTCCTTGATATACAT